CAGCAGGAAGAGGCAGCTAACATCACAACAATTTTTAAACATCATCATTAACATCTAACAAATACCAGATGAGAAAGAGAAGTTTCTTCTAAAGCCTTAAAGAAGAGTCTTCATTATGGCAATAGCTTACTAGTTATTTGAGATATCTCAACACGTTGCATTTTGATGCCATATGAGACACTCTTTAGGAGTTATTTATACCTTGATAATTCCTTTGCTTGGCACATCAAGTGGTTGCCACTCATTATCTTGAAGCTTCTTCAGATTATCAAATTTTTTATTCACATCTTCAATCTATTGGAAATCCCAGAAAAGTCCAGGTTTAATATGTGAGACTTGCATCAGATTCACAATAGAATAGCATTTAACAAAGTCAGATGACTTATGTTTAAGCATAAAGTTTAAGCATATTAAGTTAGGATAAAGTTTAAGCACATTGTGCATTTAGGCACTTTTCAAGTACAGAAGCAGACTAAACCACCAACCAATACAAACTATTAAATGTTCTCATACAGCTGACAAGAAGTTACATGCTAACATACATAAGCTTCAGATTAGATGACAAGATCAGACTGGTCTCATTTCTCTAGTTTAAAGGGTAATGAGGGAAGTATAGAAACATTCAACAAATCCAACATCTATAATTAAGGAGCTGGTTTACAGCCTCCTCTTGTGCTGAACATAGAGTTAAAAATTTGATAATGGTCATATTTAAGGAATGAAAAAGAACACACCGTATAATCGTTCTTAAACCAAACAAGCATGAGTTTTCCATTACACAGGAAAGACATTGTGCCAACTTGTTTGCTCTTTTAAACTTCCGGCCACCTCAACAGCTGCTCGATGCACTCTTTGCTTGTTCATGACATCCTGCAGACAGGGATGCAAGCTAGCTCTAGCAGTATTACCTGCTCCCTGACCAATACTTAGTGTGTCAGTCTTTCTCCTTAGCCTTTATAATGAAGACACTTGTCTCATTTACTAAGACCATACAAGGCTTCTTCACAGCAGACCAGTCGCTGAAGTAATAAGCCTTTTACAACTTCCCCAAAACTCAGAAGATGCAAATACACAATGAGTGCAAAAACAGGAAGAGAGTTAGCAATTCTGTTACTCTGAGTAGTAGGAAAAAGAAAAGGATGCTCAAGAGAAACTTTAATTGCCCGCAGCAATATAGTAAACATAGGTAAGCCATGCTTTTCAAGTTACTGGTTCTAGCAAAGTTCCCTACAAACATCTGATGTTTCAGAAACAGATCAAACCCAACTACTTTCTTGAAGAAATTCAAGACCTACGAATAGGAGTTGAATCAACATCAAATGCATCTCTGCCTTTGATTTAACCAGTTACAAGTTCCTTTGTTGAATACTGATGCACAAATGCTATTAAGGAGAGACTTTTGGATCATTTAGAACATTATATTTCATTCTGAAGCCAATGGAAGCATCTCCTTAGAACAGGAGAAGATTTCCCATCACCTAGCTCTCCTTTAAACAATGCTATTGCAGTTTCTGCTTTATTCTCATACAGCAGGCATAAGACTCCTACTTTTCAGGCGAGATTCAGGAATGTTTCCCAGCTTTTGGTCCAAGTGGACAGTGACCATATCCTCACTCCAAACAGAATTAGTCCTACCTGCACGCCATTTGCTTGCACCTTCATTCCAAAGAAAACCAAGGCACACAAACCATGAGAAGGCACAAGAGATGCCCTGGCCCACTACATAGTGATCACAGTATACCAGCTAGTACTATCCTCTATGAGAAAGTGTTAAACAGAGACCTGCATTTTTTACATAGAAAATACCAGGATTTGAATATTCAAGTGAAAACCAGTTTCAAGTTACACCTAAATAATCCCATTTTAGACGTTCTTTATTCTCTAGGTTAACATGCAAGTACATACCTGAAAATTGACCATATCCCAAAACCCATCCAAATCTGTACACGTTGTTTCTTTTTCACCTCGTTTAAATTCACAGTTATCCACCAGTCCTTCAAACTGTTTAAACCTTTCTGCTATGAGCAGTCTTGTCTGACCAACTGTTGTGCGAATGAGATCTTTAGCTGACGGTAAGAAGAAAACAATAAAGAAAGTAAATCTGCAAATAATTCATCAATTCACAATTGATGCAAGTATTTAGAAAGTCTGGAATTTCTTTATTGCTTGAACCAACTCCATACCTGCAATACAACACTTATGGAGCATACTTATTAATCGAACTCTTCTAAACTTGCCATTTCCAAACCAATTTACTATCTCTGTAAGCCTTTAAGATAAAGCATTAATAAGGCTTCCTCATTCTCTCAGACACAAATACTTGTTCTATATTAAGTCCTGATTTTATTTAAAAATCTTTTAGCTTGGTTAAAGTTTGTGCACTTAAATACACTTAGAACTGACAACAGAAAGACACTAGTTTTGATAGGCACTCCATTCATTTCACTATCAGCTCCCATCACATCAAATACTATATGCGAGTTTTAGCATCAGGAGATGAAGCAAAGCTTTTTATATTCGGACAGGTACAACTCTACACCTTATCCAATACAACTTTTACTATGTGCTCTAGACAGTGCCATTTGGCAAACTTAATTAGATAGTGGTACTTTCCTCTGTCACCTCCAACTGCCACAAAATCCCTTCTAGAGCCTATTGCAAGGTTGGTCTTACCATCCTCTGGAATGTCCATCTCCAATTTTCCATCCCACTGGAGGCAGTGAGATATCAGCCTCTCAGTCTCAGACTGAAGAATGTTTCTAAAAATAAAGGGATAGTGAAAAAAATTTTTGGAGAATATTCTAACTGCTGTCACCACTTGTAACTGTCAGTATTGATTAGTATCCTCTTGCTTTCAAAGAAAGCAAAAGTTTTTTTCACTGTTTTTGAGTAGAAGTCATTAAATTGCTTAATTTGCTGGCTTCTGAGATGCAATTTCCACATTACTGTTCTCAAGCTTGCGTCCCTTAGGATAAGGTGCTAATCTCCAGAAATTTATATTCTTGCACTAACAATTCCAAAGGGAAGACAGGAACGAGTGCCTATCCAGATCACTCCTGACAGACATCAACTATCATAAGCTAATCTTTCCATGATATCCTGTTACTCACGCGAAGGATTTCAAAACAGAAAGCAAGAAAGTGAAACAAATGAACACAAACCTGAAATAGAGCACATTGTGCTCCTGCTCTCTTAAATCATCTGACTTTGTTTCAAGTGCTGTCGTATCTGTAGAAACAGAGGTTGTTTCATTTGATCTCTGAATGGAGGTGTTCTCAGCTAATTCACATGCTGAAAAACATAATAGACAGATATTTGTTCAGAATCTGGTAAAAACTAAAAATACAGAATGATAAACTAAATATGAGCTTTATACCTTTTTCTGCTTTCAAACTTGCAATGATTTCCTGTTCTTGAATGCTTTTACTAGCAGGCACAACTTGACTTTTAAAATTAGGCTCTTGTGCTTTAGTTTCTCTGGATTTTTCAGCTGTGTTACTGGAAATGAGAATACATGTTAAGACACACTGAGAAACTGATACCATATATGGCCAACACCACACAACATTGCACAGCTGAGTTTTGAATTCTCTTATTTTACATTCAACACTACACAATTCAAACTATTCCATTTAAAGGGAGTACAGCTGAGTACATATGTATGTGTGTGTATACATGTATGTGTGTTTATATATATATACACACAGCACAGTCCTTGATATATACTATCTTGAGCTGCTCTACTTCTACAGCATAGAGAAGATTATGGATTACAGCTTTCTTTGCCATTATGTTATGCCCACGTTTGGTTGGGTAAAGATAGCAATCATCAGGTGTTTCAACATCAGAACAATTTGTTACACATGCAATGTCCTTATAAAAAGACGATGTTTTCTGTAGCAGCACAAAAAGGTTCCCTAGCGTTTTAGGCCATTAGGAGAAAGAATCTTACACTGAAGTTTCTGAAAAATCCCAGAAGGCATCAGGTGTCAAAAATGCATTTGCCCTAGAAGGAGTCATGGGTGTGACCTTGTAGGTTGCTAATCCATTTAGCGGCTGAAACACAAAGTTCTGAGGTGCAAAAGAGCGTGTTCTAGCTCTCCCTGGGGAAGAACTGTTGGTCAGCAAAACGTTTTCCTTTTCCACTGAAGTCTGTTCCTGCTGAAAAAAAAACCCTGACGTCTGTTGCTGCTGAAGTTCTACTGATGCTAAATGTTTAGAATCAGCTACAGAATCTTCCATCACTGGATCCAGTTGAGCATTTTGATCTACTTCATGCTTAAAAGGAAGTACCTAAAACAGCACAAAATAGACAAAGTGAACACTGTGTTATCAAATGACTCTGATGCCTACTACAGGCACACACTGAACTCTAATGTGACTGTCAGAAAGCTATCAGGAAGGGAACAGTTTCTAGAACGTAGCCTTCTACAACAGAACACACATACAGAACTCTTGATTTATCAGTCGGCCCAACTGGATGTGACGCTCGCAAACCATTCTAGCAGCTGGGGTAGCGCTTGAGTGTGAGGAAAAGAACAATCCGCTGAAGGGGCTGAAGTAGCAGAACACCTGGCCTACCAGAGCAGTAATTAAAATGAAGTGCTTTTTACCACTTGCTGGGAACAAAATGCTTGGGTGATAAGCTCAAGAGCAGAGTTGCTGGCACCAAATTCAACGAGGCCTATTGAATAATCATAGCTTATATAGATATTGCAAACCAAAGACTGAAGAACAAGCTAAAATAAGTTGATAGGTGAGGAATGCAGTTCAAGGGAAGGAGAGCACAAGTGCAGTTAGGACAACAGAACTTAGTCCAAAGAGGAGGGAAAGTTAGTAAGTTGAGTCCAAATTCCTGTGAGATGAGTGATTATACAGTCATATAGAATGCATTTTTAAGATATTAGTATTGAGATAATATTAGTCGAATCAGCCAAAAGAGTTTAGACTGTCTTTCAAGAAAATATGCATCTTCAATCCACCGAAAATCTCGTAATACTTTAGATAACCTTGCTTGGCATGTGAGCCTTGAATTCAAATGTTAATACACTACTTGTGACTAGATGACTGAGGTTACAGCAAGTGTTTACCAACTGGTAAATACAAAGTAATTGCTGCCTGTGAAGGGGTATCTACCTGAGCCAAGATAAATGCCTGCACTTCAGCAGTTAGCCTCCTGTCAGTGTTGGCATGCACTTACAGCACAGTTTAGGATGATACTAGAGAATAGTTGCAGTTTTTGAAATAGGAGTAGAGATGGGAGGTGTGGGGGAGACACTAGGCGAGAAGGGATAGCGGAGCGTAAGGAACAAGAAAAGACGATGCTTCTTACACAGGGCTATCAACGCATGAATATATAGACAGGTTTTTTGGATATCTGTGTTGGAGGACTACCACAAGTTCTCATACTGCAATCTCTTAAGTTGATGTAGAAAAGAGCTGTTAGAGCAGTAACACTGGAAACCAGAATGTGTGCCTTCAATTATTGTAAATCTATCTATCTTGCAGGATTCAATATTTGCTGGACTTTTTGGAGGTTCAAACCTAAAAATGCTTTTATTTTTCTGCTTCTGAAGTCCCACACAATTACCTAAGCACCATCTAATTCAGAGCCTGTTGTCAAAGAGGAATGAATTGCACAACATTTACAAACACTAGCTAAAAACAGCAAACTGTACAAGCCATTTGCTTACTAGTTTAAGCATCAGACTTTTATGAGATATTTCAGCTAAGATCATCTTCTCTCATTTAAATCAGTCAAAACTTGAGGATCAGTAATCAAGTCATCCCTGTAAGCATACCAAATTTGAAAATACATGACAATATAAATCCATACAGCTTCCTCCTAAAATCTGGCTTACCAGTGAATTTTCTATTACTTGCACACTTGAGCACAGTTGTAGTTGAACATTTTGTTGCTTTTTTCCTTAATAGCAATTTAGTTGTGCTTACATTTTACTTAAATCAAGTTCTTACGAACACATTTTAAAAGTCCTTTAACAGTGTAACATTCAACTAATTGATATCAGTGAAGCTCACTGCATTTAGCTTAAACAGGCCTGTCACCTTTTGTTTATGAATTGCATATGTAAGGAACCTGATGGGTCTGTAGACTTGTATAACCACCTGTGCCCCTCGCTGAAGCAAAGATTTGTGAACAGAGAGCACATGCACATTTGAACATGTTCTTCAAATCTGTGACCTTCAGCTGCAGTAACCTGTAGATTCTTGTGAACAGTTAGCACCTATTCGCAAGCACAAGCTTTGGAATTTTATATATTTCCTTCACATAAAAAACACTGTACAACTTCCTTTTTACCTGAACAACTACTCGAGAACATACTTGTATTAATGAAGCACCATCCAATCAAGCAGAAATGACTGATTTTAAGCATTGCTGTGAGAATGACCTTGCCTACATCTGGCTTTTAGAGTCTGACTGGAACCAGAGTTCTTGATCTCTAAGAGATAATAATATTAACATGAAAACAAACAAAAAAGCAATCCAACAGCTAAATTACTCCAAACAGTGTAATCTACTTTAGATGAGGCACCAACATACTACAGTTCATTATTCACTTTTAAATCTGTTTTATTGCTTTTCCATTTCAAACACAAAACTCCCTACCTCCATGATGTCAGGTTTGACTGCCTTCTTCTGCTTTCCTACATTTGCTGTCTTTCTTTGTGGCTGGCTTCCTAGAACAAAAGAAACTCCAGAAGATCAAAGAAGCATCCAATTAAGATGATCTTTCACCAAGAAGTGCCATAAAAAAAGACTAGCCGTTAAAAAGAGGGAGCAACTGTGAGGGTTGAGTGGGAGGCGGCTAGAAGGCAGACACCTAATTAAGTTCATATAAAAAAAACCTGTCCTAGGATTTAACAGCACATTAAATGACATAACCAAGAAAGGAAATCAGATTAAGTCACTTTAGAAGTTGTCATATATTCACATTATACCTATATGAGAAGCTAAACGCTTTATAAATATAGAGAATCATATAGCTCTATTTTAAGGTGTACACCACAGAAATGATAAAAACAAGAAGTATCTTACTTCCTCAAAGGCTGAAGAGATACTGTCAAATCAGTCTGATCTCAGATTTTTAAATTTCTATATGGTGGGCAACTGGTAGATTGAAATCACTGCTATGACAGCTGTACTTTCAAGCCTAGGGCTTTACTTCTGTCATATGTAATAAAAAGCACATTGCAAAAAATTCAAAACATATACTAAAAATTTCCCTTTCAGTAATCATCAAGTTCCCCTGTTCTGGTAAACAGACAAACATGGATGAAAAGAAATTCCGGGCCCAAAGAGCACAGGCTTTCATGTCTTGCAGAGATGCGTGTTTCTGATCACAGACCTATTAATCATGTATCCTCAAAATAGCGATACATCAAATTGGCAAACCTTTACTCAGTTCTGTTTCTGTTCTTTCAGGCTGTAATTACCATATGGATATCGATACTCCACACTGAGGGATTTTGTGGGAAACTGTCCAGTGCTGGTTTCAACATCTTGATTTAAACATTGCAACAGAGATTCCAGATGAGAGTCTTAGTGATGGAGCATTTAGTTCATTTCTTACATGACAGTTTGGCATGATTTACATGCAGTCTTTAACTATTCCAAACAGACAACCACACAGCAGAATGCAGTGTGCTAAGACATTTTAGAACAAGCTGATATATTTCTACATCACAAAAGAGTGCCTGAGATGCAAGCAAGATCCTAAAGATAGAGCTGTCTCAGTATATCATCTGATAACGAGTTTAACTGCAGCACAAACATCCATATGTTGTTTCCAGTGCTTACTAGCTAGCACTAGCCAGGGCATGGTCTTTACAGCACACTATGCTGAGCAGTTACTTATCAAGACAGAGCTCGACAAGCAGGAGCACATTTACTGTCTCACTTACCAGCTGTAGTAGTGGTTTTCAGCATCTGTCTAGCTGCAGAGGAGGCTGCTCTGGTGATTCTTACATTTGCCACTGTTTGGACTGCAGACTGCAACACTATAAGAAATATTATTTCAGAGATTTCAAAGCTTGCTAAGGAGCAGCATTCAAATAATATCACTGAGAGTTTAGGTTTTGTAGACATCAGAAGAGTCCATTATCATTTATCAGTTGCATTAGTTTGCGGGAACCAATAGTGGGGGTAGTTTTTATCAGCTCTGTGCAAACAGTGCTAAACATGGACAGCACAGCTCAGTCTTGGCATCGAGGCAGAGCTTGGATGGCTCTTGACTGACAACTGTTGTACAACAGTACCGCCAGGACCCTGATAAGATCACGATACCACTGTACTAGGTGCCATGTGCACAGCATAAGGAACCCTTTTCTGTGTTCTCTGCAATCTTAGACAGTAGTTACTCCTATTTTACAGATGAAATTTTCAAGAGCAGTAAATTGTCACAGCTGTTTGCACACCTGGAAATTTAAACAGAACCTCTGTGTAACAAAGCAATGTCCCAGTCATGACATGAAAATACTCTAAGATTTGATTTTAATGTAATTTGATAAAGTATTTTTAAATGGAAGATGAATTATCCCTGATACATTTTATAGAATATGACTCCAGTTAATGTACTGTATTCCCTACTTCAATCATTTACATCTTTGTATGTTAGTGCTGTTTCTAATTTCCTTCAAAAAAATGACAGCGTTCTATTGCACAGAAAAATTTCACACAAGCCCTTGATTTCATACCCTCCCTTTCAATACCTACCTGAAATCTGGTAGCCTGACTTGGTTACTGTTAAATGCTATTTCTGTTTTTATTGTAATTCTAGCCTCCACAGAAATGCAGCTTGACAACTCGGAAAAAAAATACTACATAAATAACTAACATTCGATTTATTCATGTTTACTTCTCTAACGTTTTCATACTAGTGTTTAAATGCATATAAATGCACATTCTTGATTCAGCAAAAACATTATCAAGTCTAGTGGATGATAATTTTTTTGTAAATGAAGTGTTTTAATTGTTATAGCAAACACTGATAACCGATCTTTTCAGTATTCACTGAAGGCATGACTGAAATGTATTTAAATAAAGGTTTGCTGCTTGCTGATTTAATTAAGTTAGTGACGCGAGTCATTTCACTCTAAATTACTGAATATCTTATGTTGGCATAAATATTCCACGTGACTTAGACATATCTGCCTAAGACATGTATATCACTGTGCCATCAGAAAGAATTTCTGATCAAAGGTATCCTCCTCCTCTAACAAATGTTGCACAGGTTGCTGGTTTAAAAAGTTAACGGAATCATCACACAGAAAGTCCAACAGTTAGTCAGATATAGAAGGGGTTGTTTTTAATGTGAAAACAGAGGAAATTATTTGTCATTCATCAAAGCAGCTAGTCCCAAACGCAGTCACAGAATGGTTTAGGTTGGAAGGGACCTCTGGAGATCATCTAGTCCAACCCCACTGCTCCAGCAGGGCCCTCTAGAGCATATTTCCCAGGATCATGTCCAGACGGGTTTTGAATATCTCCAGCGGAGGAGACCCCGCTACCTCTCTGGGCAACCTGTTCCAGCGCTCTGTCACCCTCACAGTCAAGAAGTTTTCCCTCATCTCCAGATGGAACTTCCTGTGGTTCAGTTTCTGCCCGTTGCCTCTTGTCCTGTTGCTGGGCACCACGGAGAAGAGGCTGGCCTCATCCTCTCGACACCCTCCCTTCACATACTTGTACACATTGATGAGATTGCCTCAGTCTTCTCTTCTCCAGGCTGAAGAGGCCCAGCTCTCACAGCCTTTCTTCACAGGAGAGATGCTCCAGGCCCCTCATCATCTTTGGAGCCCTCCGCTGGACTCTCTCCAGTAGCGCCATGTCTCCCTTGTACAGGGGAGCCCAGAAGTGGACCCAGTACTCCAGGGGAGGCCTCAGCAGGGCTGAGGAGAGGGGCAGGATCCCCTCCCTCCACCTGCTGGCAACGCTCTGCCTGATGCACCCCAGGAGACCATTGGCCTTCTTGGCCACAAGGGCACACTGCTGGCTCGTGGTCACCTTGTTGTCCACCAGCACTCCCAGGTCCTTCTCTGCAGAGCTGCTCTCCAGCAGGTCAGCCCCCAGCCTGTCCTGGTGCATGGGGTTATTTCTCCCTAGGTGCAGGACCCTGCACTTGCCTTTGCTGAACTTCAGGAGGTTCCTCTCTGCCCAGCTCTCCAGCCTGTCCAGGTCCCTCTGGCAGCACAGTCTTCTGGTGTGTCAGCCACTCCTCCCAGTTTCATATCATCAGCAACCTTGCTGAGAGTGCACTCTGTGCCCTCATCCAGCTCACTGATGAATAAATACATTGAACAAGACTGGACCCAGTACTGACCCCTGGGGGACACCACTAGCTACAGGCCACAGTCACATTTACCCAGTTGTATTAGTGTGTATAAGAAGTCTGGACTCCTATCTGCTAACATTATATGCCAATGTGCTCCATCAATTGGCTCTTTAACCTGTTCTTTTCCAAACTCTTCTCAATGTTAAGTTACACAAGGAAACCAAAATTCATTCAGACCGAGCCTTTAAAGCTATTCTGTACTTAATTGCTATTACTTAGCAATTTTCTTTTTGGTTACTCAACATGCATCTGCACAATCTTGATTTAAGCAGTTCTTGGGCAAAACTGATCACTTATTCACTTTCAGCAAACTCTGGAGATAGACAAATAACACACAGGAATGAACATGGCAGCTAACTTGTATGCAGGATAGTCATAATCAGAAGGGCTTTAAATTCTGCTCCAAGACAATGAAAACAATACATAATCTTATGAAGCTGCAATAGAGAAGAGCTCTAACAACACCAGTTTTCACACACTATTTTGGGACTATCAAATTTAAAGAAGTCTCAACTGGAAATATCTCAACAAGGGACCAAGGAAGCAAGTGACCAAGGAGAGAGGAAGGCGTCAAAGCAATAAGGGTGAGAGATCTGTAGGCTGAATGCTTCCTGTGAATTAGACAACGGCTAATGCTTGACAACAGCAGCTTTGCGCGAGAGAGAAGGCTTCACTAAACGCATTTACTCTTTATTCAGTCAACTTCCTCTTCATTCCAATTTCTCAGGCTACTCACAACACCAAGGAAAATTTGTATTTGATTTGTATCAGTACTCCTTAAGCTTTCCCGGTAAAGTTGCTCTTCTATACATGAAGAGCACGCTACTATACATGAGTAGCAGCTACTACATGCGTTATTCTTCTCAAACACAACAGACAGGAAGGTCTGCACAGCTCCAGCTGCTGAGGCGGTTAGCAATCACACAGTCCTGGCTGACCTTTTTCCTTTCCCTCTCCTGGCATGCGTAATCAGTAACCAAAACTGCATAAAGCATCCTGCAAGTTCCATTTTCCAAAGCCTTCAGAGGCAATAAGTATATGCAATAGCTAGAGCAGCATGCTTCATAGTCTGTCAGCTGCTGCCCTCAGGAGAAATGAGGTCATCCTAAAAATTCTTGCTTGTTCCCTGCATCCCTCCCCTAATCTGACAACTATTGGACTCAGAAGAACAAAACAGTAGAGTATCCTAGCAGACTCGGATGTAGGGATCATTCTACATTCATACCTTTCTCTTTTTCAGTTGTTTTGTCTGCACCCATCTGTTTACGTCCTGCTTGTGTAGAGCGTGCACTATGCCCAGTGGCACAAACCTACAAGAAAAGGTGAAATTCCTCAGAAACTCTGTTTTTTTTTTATACAAGGAATAACAAAGAGACTGCCAAGATTCACAGAAAAAATATGCCAACATTGAAATATTTCTGACTTTAAATGCTACCCTGAGCAGTAAAAATTAATCATGAGCAATACCGACAATAATCACATCTCAGCAACATAGCTCTCCACTTATAAGGCTTTAAATAAAAATGAAACAAAACTTTGCAAAAATGCTATATGCTAACATTAACTTTTAGCCACTGGTTTTACACACTGATATTACTAAGCATGGTATGGAAAACGCAAGGCAAAAACCCTCTTGCTGATGAAATTCACCAACAAAATAAAATCAACAGACCCGTATCTGACACTTTGAAAGCAGTCAGTTCAGCAATGGCCATCTTGTGTACATTAATATATGAAATATTTTGGAATTTTTAAAACTTAGTTTCATTTGATCTCTGTGAAATTAAAATGTTAATTCACAAAATCAATAGGATTTCTGCAGTTCTGGGCACTAGATCTGTCATTTTATAAACTCTGAGGAGTCACAAATTGATATCCCATAGGGTTAACTCAATCCTCATCTTTAAACAGGTATATAATTTAAGTGGCATACAATTTAACATACAAGAATATTTTTAGGTCAAACATTAAAAACAAGTGTTCTTTCCTACTTTCAGAACAAAAGCACACCTGTTTTGTAAAAACATTTAAGAATGTAGTTAATTTGCTGTGTTGCCCGCAGCTTTTTGAAGCTAGAACGTGATCCAGGAAAAGAATTGATTTCTTATAACCTGCATTGGTGACAGATTATCTGTATTCCAGATTCACTGCTTATTCTATAGGCCAGGTTGGATTTGTGCCAGCAACGCTGCTCTTGAGCCGCAAGCCAAAAATAATGGCATCTCAAACAAAGTACATAACTTCAGTCTCACCTCTATCTCTACTCTTACTTGTAATCCTAGGGGACTACAACAATACTTTGTATGGAAAAAGTGATCTGGAAGACCAGTGAACTCTTCCCTATTTGCACTGACCTTATTAAACTCTTTGTAGCTCAGTTCAGCACAACGCTCAAGCCAGCACAATAAGATCTATCAGCTCGCTATAAGCTTTACCGCCCTTTCTCACCAGAAGAGCCTGCTCAGAGAGAGCACTCAACAGGCAAGCATATAGCCACAAGTTACGGTCTGAAGGATAATTACATCCTTTTCTCCCAATTTATTCCCTGAAGTATATACAAGACAAACCGTAGAATGCTTGGATGCAGCTGATGTCACTGTTTTTTCTGCTTGATTCTTGGCCTTCGATCGAATAATCCTCCCAGAGGAAGTAGGAGCTGCCTAGAAGCATTCCCAAAGAAACAGGAGTTAACATATTCCTTGTGCCCCCCATTACTATTAGAGCAGACAAGATGACTAACGTATGAAAAGCAACATGGCCGTGCACTGCATTTGAGAGTTAAAATGAATAAAGGGAGTAATTTCAAAGACTTTCAAAGTCAAGTGAGCTAAATTGGAACAAGACAAGTTCTAAAAGAATTCATCTGTTGCATTTGTGATGAACCACTATAGTTTTTGAACTGAGAATAAACCGAATTACTCCCTTATTGTCATTAAGCTGTCCCATGATTAACCAAGTCAAATGCCTTCACCTTAAATCAGAATAATATAATATCTTCCTTACGAAACTAATATAAAAATATTTATAAAGCATTTACTGTAGAAATGTTTTAATTAATTTCACATAACACAATGTTGTATATAAATGTTAATATAATGTATTTCATATACTCCATTTTAGATATTTAATTGTTATGCTTATTACCTTCTCCTTAGGTTTGACCGTCACAGGATCTTGGGGTACAAGTGAAAGGAAACCAGGTGCAGTAGGTTTATACAACCCAACTTTAAATACGCCCTTTTTTGCTTTCTCTCTTTGTTCTTTAAGTTTTCTAAGTTCCTTTTCCTCTTTATAGCGTTGGAGCATTTCCTTACGTTCAAGATTCCTCTTCATGGCTACATTTGTAGGCTGTTCTGCAGAAACGGTGAAGAGAGACGATTAACACAATCTTGAAGATATTTTTCAACAAACAATAATGAACAAGTCAGAAAATTTCAAAGAACTTAGTATGTTACTTCTGTATCTTGGATAAGTTAAAGAGCGTAAGACTCACTGTCTAGAGTTTGTGCTTACAAATTTCAATTGAAGTCTTATAAGACAAATACATGTGCTCTATCAGCTCGCCAAAAGCTTAAAGCTCTGCATTGTTTTAACCCTTCCCACTGGAAGAAGGGTATTGAAAAATAAAATTCAACTTGCAAATACATCTCCCTAAATCTGGATCTCACGGATACTGTAAGTTCAGATCAGTTTTACAGTGAAAAGACTGTACATGCAAGGTTAAAGTATTAAAGTTAATGCTTTAAGCATACTTATTTAGTCATTTGTACAAGTTTCTCTATTAAAACATTTTTAACACCATTGAAAGCTGAAGGTTAGGTCAGATTTAGACACCAAAGAGTAAAGTCTGCCTCAGGCTGAGGAGAACGAATGAGGCAGAAGTTATGGGAAAGAATAAATCCTTGAAATGAAGCCAGGTGGAATTACGCGTCCGTCTGAAAAACCTGCTCTAAGTTAAAATGTATTGAAGATAACGAAGTTGCAATTTCTATTAATTTTGTATTTGACATGCTTATATAGTGATTTCATTCTTTCCTCCAGTGATTTTCCTCTTTCAAAATTCTAAAGGTGAAAATATTCCTGAAGAAATTTGTTAATAATCTGTTTAAAGATTAACTTAATTCCTTAGGCCGTAAGTAGCCAGACAAGCTAGAGATGCAAAATTCAGTTTGTGCAGGTCCTGTTTTCTGGGAGGAAACAGCAGGTATAAAGAATTACCAACCTTTAAAATATAATATGCACTAATCATTTCTAAGCGTACTTTACACACATGACAGGTATCAGTAATATACTAGAAGAGATTCTAGATCAGGATTATTCACTTCCTGAACAAAGCTATCATTAAGACACTTTCCGTTAAATATTAATAGCAAAACGCATTCCTTCTTTAACTACTCCAGACAAATCATAGCAAAGCCTCATCCACACAACCGGAGCAGTGAAGGAGGATAAAGCTGCATTAGACTTTATTTTCTTTTTTTACTTTACAGTTAGCAGAATTGGTAGTCATTGCTTTTTAAATCTTAAAACACATGAAATTAAATGCTAACTACAGTTAGGTTCCCGTGATTATATTACTAAATCTGTTAAATGAAATTTGTAACAATAAAAAGCTTGAAAACAACCCTTTACTCACTCTGCTTCACATTGCTGTTCTCTTGAGAACACATTTCACTTGTCTCATTTAGTTGAGAAATTTCCCTGTCTTTTGATAGCTGAACATTGACATCTGTCAATCCAAACTGCCTGCTCTTTTCAAATAACTTGTGTCTGTTCTCCTTTTGAAGCACTGATTTCCTGCGTGCAACTTTTGTTCTGAGGGTTTCCGTACTTAAGTCCTTTTTGTATCGACTGGCAAACTGGGATGTAGCTGCCATCTTGTTTATCCTGCACAAAAATCATAATGATTAGGAAAAAAGCTGTCATGTTCTGTTTTTGCCATTTTCAACAGAGTTTGCATTTTATTAACAAAGAAAGACTTCAGTTTTTCATTTCTGTATGTGTACCAGTGAAAACATAATTCACAGTTTCAGCAATGATTCTTCATTTTTTTCCCCATATTTTATGTATCTAAGGGGCTGCTTAGTTAAAAATCAGCAACAAGTCTGACACAGAATTAGCAGGGTAGGCTTTGTCACTGCCTGGGATTGGCTGGCTAGTCTGTTTCCAACACGCTTGTCTCCTTAACATGGAAAATACAAGTAAATGACAAAGTTGTAGGACAATACTTGGAAGCAGCATTGCCACTGAGCGTTTAGTTTACAGCCTATCCGAGGGCAGGACGTTTTTGTCATGCGGAGTACTTGGCACTGTTTCCTAACTGAGCTTCCCGGATGCAACTGCAATACAATTATGTTGATTTCACATAGGATTTCTCCCTACCTTTTTTAACCTGTGGAATAATTGATGTAAGCATTAGTTGGCCTGTTCACACTATCGTGCTAACAGCCCTGCATAACGCTCCACCTGCTGCATCCCACTGAAGCCTGCCTTGTTGAGGGTAAGGGGGTTCATGCTTTTTTCCTGGAGAGAGGACAGAATCAGTACTCTGTTCTTGTAGTTGGCCTTATCTTGTCTGCCACTTTAATCAGGGTCTTCTTGAAATCTCATCTTCCATTACTTATAGAAAACAGCCTCAGAATAAGTAATAGTGACACAGCTAAAATAAATAGCCAACTACAGGTCAGGTACTGAGATTCTTAATTTCAAGACAGCAAGTTGAAGAGAACTGGGTTGAGATCAGCCTTGAATAGGGATGCACAGGACTTCTTAAAGTCAAAAACCTCATTATCTGCTCCTAGTTAAAAAACCCCACCATCTCAAGCAAAGAAAAAGACCAGAAATCTAGCTGAATACTGAATACTCTAAATGTTGCGGGAGGAGAGGGGGGAAAGAGTACCAAAATAAACAAAGAGGACAAAAATAAATAGTAACGTATTCTTAAGCTGCATATATCTACAGAAACAGCAACAAAGGACAGGATCTGAGCTACCCCACAAAGGGATACAGACAAAGGCTGTTTAGACACCGCTGCTGCTGGCAGCGGCAGCTCCTTGCGGCCAACTTCAACGCAGTATTCATGAACCAAGTATTTGCATAGCACCAACAGTACACGCACAATCATCTGTAAGTGCTTGGAATAGAGACTGGTGATAATATACGATCCAGAAATCTAAAAGGGTAAGTTTTGCTTCTTTTTTCAATATATTCAGCGCTGCAGGAGGGAAAACGGTCAATGGAAATGTAAGTTATCAAACAGGAATAGAAGCAAAACTCAGCTTAAAGCTCTCAAGTCAGAGACTGGATGTCTTCCACACAATTCTAGAGGAACATGTGCACGTCAGTGCCACCGATTTGTGAGTGTCAAGCATCTTATATTCCATCCATTAATGCATTCCAACTTGCAACAATTCATTAATGACAGTTAATTAATAATGATTGCAAGCGATCAGACTAGCTGGACTCCACTTCATACGTCATACTTGTCCCTGTTTACACACACAGGTGAAAAAGGAAGGTTAATTCTTGAGGAATTCCAAATATAATCTTTGGACTGATTTTAGTAGTAGTTCCAAGGGTGTTATGGAAATTCATCAAAAAACCAGTATGGTTTTCTTAATGACTTCCTATCTGCCTCCTAGAAGGAGCAGGAATTTTGTGTCCACTGGAAAAAAATCATTCCCAAAAGCAGCAACCGGCATCAACTCCGAACGCTCATCCTCGGCAGACTTGCAGATAAATTCTGTGTCTGGGACTCCTTAAACATGCTCTAAGCATAGCAAAGGCCCTTTCAGAGTGCTTGTACAAGTTTGCAAATCAGTGCCTTGGAGGAAGGTAACATAACCCATATTCATTGAATATACCCAGCTTTCTATCAGAAAAGCTTACAGAAAGCTACATTTACCTTAAATTTTGATAAATACAATACATTTACAGAATATTCCCCCCCTCCCCCAAAGTGTTAAATACGCACCACAATATTTTCTTAGCTCTTATAGTAAAGACCCACCTAAGTCCTTCTGCCCCTGATAAGCCTCAAGAGCAAGTGATCTACCTTTCACAGTAAGTAATTCTCCAGAAGAATTCAACTGAAACCTGAAAAGAAAACAGAGGTAGAGGGAGTTTCCTGCTTTTTTTCATAACATGCATCATCAGCTCACGACCCAAGTCCACAAAAGTAATACTACACAAGAGATGAGCCGTGGTCTCTCTGGGCTCGTCACAAACCAATGACATGCTCAGGACTAAAAGCTTTTTCTCTAACCGTCGTTTGGTATTCGGGACCAAAAGACCCATCTCCTCTTCTTTTCCGGTTATGGTTTCTGAGCAGCACCTCACCCCAGAAAAATTAAATTTAAACTGGAACAAAGGCAAGCAAAGATAAGTAGCAGGAAAGGGACAGGGGGCTTATATGGAAAGACTGAGAACTGAAGTTGAAGATTTATAGGACTTAAAAAAAAAATAAACGAGAAAACCCCAAAAACAAAACAGGGAGAGAAAAGAACCGAAAGAATAGTTTGCACAGGAAAAACAAAGCGGCGAGTAGTTCCCTCTCTAGCCGGAAGGGCACCAACCTAGAGCCGAGGCCGCGGGCAGCACAGGTGTTTTTCAAGGAAGAAAACTGGGCAGGTTTAGGGGCTGGGCGAAGCGGCTGCTGGCGGCGCGGAAGGACCCGGTGCTTCCCAGAAGGA